ACTCATTCCAGTCCCTTACGTTCTTAGTAAAAACTGCTCTTTTATACATAATATTTCTCAATTTTATACTTTCAATTACGTCACTATCTATCCAATTTTTTAAAGTACCATCCTTTATACATACTTGTATTTCCTTTATCGGGGAAACACTATTTAAAACGCTTTTAATGTCCTCGGTTAAACACTCAGCCATCATATCTACATCAGTTACATCTCTATTCCATACTACGTTTCCAATTCTTTCTTGAAATTTCTCTTTATTGTAACATTTTTTGGATCTAATCTTTTTTGTTGTACCCTTTGTCCTATAATCAACATATCCTGCAATACTAACTTTTAAAATATTATGATCTGAGATCTTAGGTGTTAACCAATTTTCATGGTACATATCTCTATCATTCGTAATAATATAATCTATTAATGTTGCACTACTGTTTGTTATTCGCGTATAGTTCTTTACTATTTGGTATAAGCCGTTTTGATATATTATACCTTTAATTTTATTACTATAAAATGCATTACTGCAGTAGTCTAGATTAAAATCACCACCAATAATTATTGTACCCATAAATCCCGTATTTGCTAAGAAATTCTCAAAATCTTCTAAAAACAAATTATCATTAACTTGCGGTGGATGGTATATTGCTATTATGTTATACAAATTATTGCCGATATTTATATTAACTCCTAACATCCAGAAATATTTTTGCTTATATTCATTTACTATTAATTCATATTTAATTTCTTCTTTAATATATAATAATATTCCCCCTGTTCTTCTGTTTGTTGTCAAACATTTTTCTACTCTATATCCATTTATACACAGCTCACTATCATATATTTGATCATCAACATGTGTTTCTGTTAAACACATCATTACAGGTCTGACTTTATTTACCAGCATAATAATCTCATCTCTGTTATTTATATAACCCTGACAATTTAAGTATATTACTTCCATCATTGATTGCTATTTATTCTTTTTACACAGAACCGGATAATCAGTTTTCATTTTAATTTGTTCACATATTCTTTTATATGCGTGACAATTACGATCATATGCTGAATGATTGTAATCAATTCCTGGGATTTTTAATACCTCAGATGCCTGTCTGCAATTTACACAGACCTTTGCATCAGTACTACATGTTTCATGTTCTCCTGCACACTCAGCACATACCAGTTTATCATATCTACATTGCTTTATTGTATGTCCAAATTTCCTACATTTATGGCATTGTACCACACTCACATGATTCTCAATTTTACGTGTCTTCCACCCTATGTTTATAATTTCATTACTCATTAAGAACTCATATGTTTCTGAATCCACTTCAACAATTGCATTCATATTAATCTGATTTCTTTGTCCTCTTGGTACATATTTGTGTAATACTTTAATAATCCTTCTATTCGGATCTGTCCTAATTAAGTTCTGTATAATAACTTTTTCAACAAATAAACCTTCATCTTCCAAGTCTCTCTTATTTATATTCTTTATCTTGATTTTAGGATTTCTTTTTTCTATCTTTTTTATCTCATATTCTTCTCCCAATTTCTCCTCCAGTTTTTTACACACATTTTCGATTGGTTCCTTACTCATACATCTCATAGATATACCTCCCTTTTGAATATTCTTCAGTCCAGAAACACCAACTCCTTCACCCAAATTGCATGGATCAATCTTTTCCTGTATATTCTCCCTTGTAATAGAACTCCTTTGTCTGTCATCCTTTGGTTTAATTACTACAATCTCTTCTTTTTTCTTCTTTTTTTCCACTACTGCACTATAACTCATAATCTTTTCTTCATCTTCATTTTCTAATTCTTCTTCTGTTTTCCCTACAGTCAATTTGCCAATCATGACTTTTAACATCTTCATTTCATTATTCATTTCCTCTACCATGGATATTAATCTAGGCAACTTAGTTATGAACTTCTGACAATTACTGCAACACAATCTTAGTATCCTCTTTTGCAAAGGCATACATTTCAACTCTGATGATGTTAATCCAATACATGCTTTATGTATTGCTCTATCACAAACATCACATCTATAAGCTTCATCCCCATCTCCAATCTTTTTCCGACAATCTGTGCATTCATCACCAACCCCCATATTCAACCACTATTCTTCTAAACATTTAAACAATTTTCCTAAGTCCAGACCTGTTCAAACAGATGCCACAGCCAGTTTATGTGTTTATTTACAAATATATATTTTTTGCTATCAGAGTCCAAAAAAAGTCAGTGCTTTTTCACCATACCAAATCCTCATTCAATAACAATATTATTAAACCACTATTATTTGTTGTTCATTTACATATATATTAATATACAATCCTTGTTTAATACAATTAGTTTTCAACCCTTGCAAAAAATCACTTTTTAAAACATTGAGTTTAACCATCAAAAGACTTATACACAGGAGCACCAACAACTCTCTCTCTCAACTCTTTCAAATATGTCTCAACTCTTTCAAATATGATAATGTTTGGTTTTATTATTTTTTGCCTTCTCAGTAACACAAAATCTAATTCATATTATTATGATGTACATAAACATATTTACATATGTACATATTTACTATCCAGTAATCCGAAAATATCGGTAATTCGAACTTATCTCTTTAAGCCCGTGTCTTAATTAGTTCGCATTAAAGAGTCTATGCCAGGGGTCGGCAATCTATGACCCGCGGGTCACTGAGTGACCCATTTACTAATTTCAAGTGACCCACTTTATTTCCTAAAAAAAGTAAAATATATAAAAATAAATTATAAAACATAAACATGAAACGAAGATACTTTGTTTTTGCGCGCACGTCAATCTTGAAATAACCTCTTTTTTGCTTTTTGTTTGTTCATGGCAATATATTTTTTTAAATAATAATAATTATTTCACTTAGATAACTGCTTAATAATTATTTAGCTGCGTAACTGCGTCACTCCGCTACTGAACATGTGCTACAACTGAGAGAACGATACACGCCGCGCCAATTTCGTCCCTTATGTCTCCACCCTAACATGCGCCGCGCGCTGCAGGGTAATGGTTATTTTCTTTCCTTTGTTAAAAAGGGAACATGAAAAAGAAAATATCGATGTAAGCAATCTAAATATGTTCGAAAGTTGGATTTTAGTCATTAAAAGTGAATATGAAAGTCGATTTCAAAGTTTTAAGAACCATGGCGAAATATTTACATTTATAATAAAGCCCGACGAAATAGAAGAAAATGTTTTAAATTTGCAGTATTTTCAATATCTAAAAATTGAAAATTTTAGTTTAGAAATGATTGATTTTAAAAATTCAACGTTATGGACGGATAAATTCAAGGAATTGCGAAAAGATTTGGAAAAAACAGAAGATAATCATTTCCTCATGATATCAACGTGTTGGGCATCACTTCCTACGTCACAAGTTCAACATCAGGGGAGCCATTAATATCGAAGAGAACGTTTATAAATAAAGTACATTCAACTATGTTTGTTTTTATAATAATTAGAATTTTATTAGTTTTTAAATAATAATTAAAGTTTAAAAGCGTATCGTAATTATTTTCTTAATAAAATGTATCTTATTATTCACTAAAAGACCGTTTTAAAATGAAAATATCACTGACCCAAACGTCCCTTTAATATTCACATTGTGGTTGATTTTGACCCGCAGCCAAAAAAGGTTGCCCACCCCTGGTCTATACTGTAATGTCATTTTGAAGTATACACTTTTTCTTCCAAAGGCTTCCTTTTAGAAATTAAGCATCTAGCTTTCTTAAACTTAAAAAATTTCTGCTTCCCAAGTTTCTACCATTCTGGCTCGTGCCACACTGCGTGAAATGTCAAATACTAAATATAAAATTAAAGAACATCCTACCTGACTTCATTTGTTTTTTTTTTAAATCAATCTTATTGTTAATTCATAATAAATATTGTTTATCAATCAATTGCACATTTTAATGAAATATTTGAAGAATATTCCCACATGTACATAAGTAGTTGTTATAATATTTCGTTTGTTCATAATTTTCGATGAGAAAAAGAATAAAAAAAACGTTTGGTGCATTTTGAAGGGAAAAAAGTCGCGTGACGAGACTTGAACCAGTGATCTTGTGACTGTCGGACTCGACGCTACCAACTAGGCCATGTTCCCAGTTGAAAAAGTGTCGCATCTAGTGGATTTAGCTGACAGGTAAAACTTCAAAATCGATTATCTCGGTAATTTATGAATGTTGCGTCGAACTACTTCGGAAAGTTCTTATTCAAGGTCCAAACTACATGACCATAAATATTAAAAATTACAAAATTCCGATTAGAGTAGTTTCAAAATCTCATGAGCCGCATAATTCTTCTAATAAGCATGTTGTGAAAATATTGACTCAGAATTAGACCACGTGCCTCATTACAACCAGAAATGAACTAAGCTCGGGCATCAAAAAAGTCAACGATCATTATATATATTTTTATTGCTTAAATTAAAATAATAAAGAATAGGGCATTTTATTATGATATTTGTAATCGGATCAAAGGCTTGTTTACGCTACGAGAGCTCGAGATAGACTGTGAATAATAGATGTAATGTTTTTAGGACGTAGAATAATTTAAGCGACGGTCAGAATTATGTTTCTGTGCAAATGAAGGTTAGTTAAAAAGTTAGTGAAAAACATATCTGGATAGATTTTCTTACTATAACAGTGGCATAAGGTTTAATGGGTCTAACTCTAATAGTAAAGGAGATATAAATGGTTAAAAGAGTAGGTCATAAACATAATTGTTAGAATTTAATAAAAACCTCTTGCTTGCACATTTGTAAGATAATACTCAAATGTTTTCATAATTTAGACAGCACATAATTTAAAATATTTCATATGATTTTTATTCCAATACATATTTTGATATCTCCAAAGATAAAGAAAAATTAGGGTGACATTTACGGCGGATCATGTATAAAAATACAATCAAACTGGTCTCAAAAACTGTTAGTTTTGCGAGATAAAATTAGATACTCACATATAATACATCTCCCACTGCATAAATATGAGGTACATTGGTCTGTTCATTTACAGCATCGATTTTTTCGCCATCTCCAGCGACTTTCACGCCAGCTTTTTCTACATCCATTTCTTGAGTTAGCGCACGTCTGCCGATAGCAAATAGGACCGTATCAAATACATCATCAAAGGCTTCGTTTTGTTCGTTGGTCCATGTCACTTTTAATTTTCCATCGGGCAGCTTCTCAACAGATTTTGGGATGCACCTGAGGATATCAATTTTAGTTCCAAATCTTTTTAATTTTAAATTTGATAATTACTGAATTTTGGTAAGTACAGTAAATTAGTTTTAGAAAGTACGCAATCCACTCATGGCAACAAAATATACAGGTTGTTATATATAATAACTACCAACATCAAAATTACATCATCAAGTCACTTTGTTATTCAGTCAGAAACAGGGACATAATTTTTACTTACTTGAATAAGAATTTCACTCCTTTATCTTGCATTTCAGCAGCGATAGTATTAGCCATTTGTTGATCGAAACCTCTTAGTACGATAGAACGAACCATGACCGTAGCATCGTAGCCTAAACCATTTAAGAAACCTGCACATTCCAAGCTAATATCTATACTTTCTGTCAAGGAAAAAGTACTTAAATATATTTTCTTCTTAGTATCTCTCAAATATTGTCATTATGCTGTCAGCTTTTTAAGGGTAATACTATGTGCTCCCGATAACAACAATAAAAATATATGGGATGATCCATGCCAACCGGATCAGTGCTACCACCATAATTTGGAGTAACCAAAAAAATCGAGCAAGGGCTCATTTTGAAGCTTAAGGCATCTACTTTCAAATGTTGAGTGCGCCTTTGTAAAATCTAATATGGCGCCTGAAAGCTCTCACTTTTTATGAAAAAAATTTGTCCATATTTGAAGTGCTATATACAGGGCTTAGCAAAAGTACCGGAATAACTCAGCCGGAGAGTATTTTAGAGAAAAATGTTAAATACTAAAGTTTCAGGATGTCTCCATGGCTATCCGATGGTGACCTTGACTTTTGACCCCAGAAATGAAGTGGAAAATTTTACGTAGCAGACAGATTTCTGGGGTAAAAAGTATAGGGTCCCATTTGAAAAATCACATTTGACCTTGAAATGATCTTCAAGGTCACCATCGGATAGCCAGGGAGAAATCCTGAAACTTTTGTATGTAACATTTTTCTCTAAAATGCTCTCCCGCTGAGTTATTCTGCCGTTCCGGTACTTTTGCTATACCCTGTATGCTTTCCAAAGTATTTTGACCCCTTAAACACAAATCCGATATTAGAATTTAGCTATCACTTCAATTTTTTTTTTTTAATTTCAAAAAAACTGCTAAAAATCAGTAAAAATGTGCGAAAATGTACAAGAAAAAGAAATATGCATTTTTCATATTCTTCTCTTCTTCAATGAGGAAATGTATTCGCTGAATCCAAATCCACTTCCAGAATTAAGCTGGCACGACTCAGCTATTTCTAACCTCAAAAATGTCGATTACAAATCGATATTTTAAAAAAATCAAAAATTTTTTTAAAAAGTTCCACCTATTTAAGGCAAATTTAGCAAACGGGGGTTTTTGAGGTCGCTGATTATGAATCTGAAGTCAGATCTGCAAAATTGAAGATGACTGATCTAATATAGCGGACGATATTTTTGAAAATGAACCAATCTACGTCAAATTTGGTATACGCGGGTTTTCGGGGTCGCTGATCACGAATCTGGGGTCAGAATTCAAAAGTTTTGGTAGACCCTCGATGGAGACACATTCCTGGCTCAAATCTTTAATCAATATTTGCCCATCACTCTTCAATTACCAGCAAAGTGCTGAAGCAGCTATAAAAAATATTTTTCCAGCAGTATTTTTTATAGTTTTTTGAAATTGCATTCTGTTAAGTAATTAATATTGCATAAAAAATTCATTTTCTGCATTTGAGTACATTCTAATTTTAAGTTTATTGTCGGCAGTGGGAATAAATGAGAGATACATTTGAATTTTAGGCACAGTAGGCAGATTAGGGAATTGTCTACAAGGTCCATTGGGGTGGGTACGGGGGGGCCCTTGGTACTTTGCGTGTGTAACTTTTTCATCTTTGACTTTTTAACAAATTGGACAGCAAATTCCGTTTTCCCGAACTGTTTTACGTTAAAAAGGTACTCTTGTTTCAAATCGTTATCTTTAACGGTTTCTGAGAAAATCGCTCTTGAATTAATCCCACTTTGGTCAATTTCATAGTAATTTAAACAAAAAATAATAATAATAATTTAATACGTAATCAGTAATACACATTATTGATGTAGAACAATTATGATATGATGATTTGTTTATGGCTTTTGCGATGGTAATGCTGCGCGGCAGAACGCGAGTACGGCAGAAGGTTTCCAAACAGAAGGCTGACATCAAGGAGGACATTCCTCACTGTATTCCGCAATTTAGCTGCAACCGTCACTTTTCGAAGGGATCATAAGATGGAAACTTAATTTTGATAACAGACAACAAGCTATTTTAAAAACTGTTCAAAAAACCCTCCACCTTCTCTGATACAAAGTCTTGCCCTACGTGTAACACTTCTCGAAGCTATTAAGATGCTAAAACGGTTTTGACGAATTTCATTGGCTGCATCATTGATACGCTGCAGCAATTCCTCACGGGTATCGACTTCGGTGGCGTAAACTTTTTGATTTAGATATCCCCAGAAAAAGAAGTCCAGCGGGGTTAGGTCGGGAGAACGCGGCGGCCAAGCTACCGGTCCGTGCCTCCCTATCCACCGTCCAGCGAAATTTTCGTTTAGGAAATTTAGAACATTGCGACCACTATGTGCCGGGGCTCCATCGTGTTGAAAAAACATGTTACGTCGTAAATTTAGAGGCAGATCATCGAGAATTTGGGGAAGATTTTCTTGAAGTAAGTTTAAATAAAGATTTGAATTGAGACGTTGTGGAATTTCAATAGGTCCAATCAGAGTGTCGTGAATTATTCCCGCCCATAAATTTATGGAAAACCGTTGCTGGAAGTTTGTTCTCCGAACAACATGTGGGTTCTCTTCTTCCCAATAATGAGAATTATGAAAATTTAATTTTCCATTTCGGGTAAAAGTAGCTTCGTCACACCACAAAATTTTGGAAGCTTGCTCGTTGTCCAGCGACAAAATCCAGCGACAAAATTGCATACGTGGCGCAAAATCTTCTGGTATCAAGCCATGTACACGTCGATAGTGATAGGCATGTAGACCTTGTCGCTTTAATATTCTTCCAACCTGAAATGTTAGTAGCACATCTAATCAATTCTGTTAAGGAAATCTTTAAGATATGTAGTACCGTTGGCCGAGGAACATTTATTTGCCTTGAAATGTTCCGTATGCTAGTCGTAGGATCTTGTTCAATAGCGTCAAGGACCTCCGCTTCCCTATTAATCCTGGGACGTCCTTGACCCGGTGCCTTTCGAAAAGTGGCGGTTGCAGCTAAGTTGCGGAATACCGTAGGGAATGTCCTCCTTGATGGCAGCCTTCGGTTTGGAAACCTTCTCCCGTACTCGCGTTCTGCCGCTGCAGCATTACCATCGCAAAAGCCATAAATAAATATCATATCAACTAACTCTTGTCCCGTAAACTCTTCCATTTTTTTCGCTTAGAACTATTAAATTGGCAATCGGGTTGACAATACTTTGACATAAGAATACCTTGATAATTTTGTTTAAATTACTATGAAATTGACCAAAGTGGGATTAATTCAAGAGCGATTTTCTCAGAAACCGTTAAAGATAACGATTTGAAACAAGAGTACCTTTTTAACGTAAAACAGTTCGGGAAAACGGAATTTGCTGTCCAATTTGTTAAAAAGTCAAAGATGAAAAAGTTACACACGCAAAGTACCAAGGGCCCCCCCGTACCCACCCCAATGGACCTTGTGGAAATAAATGGATTAGTCCATCAAATTGCTCATCAAAATTTAGCTGTGTATACCAAATTTCATTCATTTATCACAACGCGATTGAGAGATATTGCAAAAAAATGATTTCCATTCCTCCCTCTTCAATGGGTCCCTGTGCCCTTAGGAAGCATTTCCGGACCCATGTTCATATGAACTTTTTTACTTAGTTTTGATCATAGAATCGGCTTGTTCAGGGTTGGCAGCTAATTATGAGACACCCTGTATTTTGGAATCTTGACTTTACCCAAGTATAAAGTGAGAGTGAAATTTGACGTAGATTGGTTGATTTTCGAAAAAAACCGTCCGTCATATTGGATCCGCCATTTTGAATTTTGCATTTCTGACTTCATATTTGTAATCAGCGACCTCAGAAACCCCCGTCTGCTAAATTTGGCATAAATCGGTGGAATTTTTGAAAAATTTTTAAAATGTTTAACTCGTACATTTTAGCACATTTTTACTGGTTTTTATAGCATACACCACTAAATTCTAAGCAAAAAACTAAATAAAAAATCTTTATCCAGTTAGAAAATTTTCAAGATGAACATGCGTTTTCTATTGATCAATTTTCATTAAATATCTGCATCGTCTCATCTAATTATTTAAAAAAATTTTCCATTGCTTCTATTTTATATTTATTTCGAAGTATCTAATTAAAGGATACATCCAGCACCGACGACCAGTGTTTTGCCTGGAGCATGGTCCAAACTAAAGATATCATCACTCGTAATCCCATACTCTATCGCTCCTGGAATGTTGGGATAACGTGGCCTGCCTCCGCATGCTATCAAGAAATATTTAGACGTAATGTTCTTCTCACCCTGTTTAGTTACAGTGTGAATTGTGTGTGGATCTACGAATTTTCCTAAACCATTAATATATTCTACTTTCCTAAAAAACACATTATTTTTAATACTTTGTGGTGGCTTTCAAGATTTTTAACAAATGGCAATAAAATAGTAAAAACACAGTATAACACTATGCGTAGTATTTCAAAATTATTTAACTTACTTATCCCTGAGTTCCACTCTTGTGACCCAATTTACAGATTTGATATGAGCCTGTACTGCATCTCGTAATGCTTCCCAATCGTGTCTTATATTTTCAGCCTGAGGGAATTGCCAGCCATAACTTTTTGCATCCTGTAAAAATGTTGCAATAATTAAAAATTATGTTCCTTGGTGAATCTGATTGATAGTACAGTACCCGCCCTTTGAAAGTGGACGACCCTTATAAGCAAATTGTCTATAATTGTCCTTTGTGAAGATGACTTGAAAATGTGAGGTTCAAATCGGCTGTCATTGTCAAATTTAATGTGTGTCTATCATACTAGTTCTAGTGAGCAAAACAAATCCAAATTAGGTAGCAAATTATTTATTTTTCCAATACTGAAATATTTTATACATTCTAACGGCCATTCATTCGCCGTCAACGAGATCTAAAAATGGAACACTTTTCGTCGTCAAAAACGCGATTCGTAAAGTAAATGTTTTGTCCAAGCACCATTTTTCTATATAACACTGCGAACTACATGGCATTGATAAAATTAATGTTCTTGTTATAATCCTCAGTGATGTTATCCCGTGCGTTTTCAATTGTCTCCCAAAGTTCTTCGACGTTAACTGGACTGAAGTTTCTGCCGTAAATTTTTTTCACATATATCCAGGACTTTGAGGGCCAAGGTAAAACATCGATGTTGTTATCAATGAACCATTCTGATGACAATTATCCTGCTTGAAAGTGAAATTCTGAGGATACAGCATAGTTACAACAAACATCAGGACTTTGGCAGCTTATCCAAGCCCAAACGTTAATGGAGAATCCATCGCTGCGCTGTGTGGGTTTCACATAAGGCTCCGAATACCTTATAATCTCTGGTGGGTAGACACGGACAGAAGCATCGGAGCAAGACTGAAAACTTTTTTCGTCCGAAAATATAATATTCTCCCAGAAGTTGTCTGGGCTTCCTACAAATTGTCTTGCAAACTCTAACCACTGTTCTTTATACTGGGGAGTCAAAGCAACTATATTTGC